AAAAGAATTGTGCACTTATTTGCAGCTAAAGCATGAATATGTTGACTGTATTCAAAAATGGATTGACTCAGGAATCGAACAATGTCTCGATACTTTCACATCTTGTAAGGGAAGAAAATCAACAATGTAGGATAGAGATTCAAGATAATTGACAGAGGGTCATTAATTTTTAATCCATGTTTAGATTGGACAGAGTTCCTTGATGACAATTTCATTTAAAGATTTGTTTTGGGATTCATTTCATTTATAAGTTTATGAAAGGAGGGAGACAGAGTAGTTGAAAAATAACAAGTTGGAATGGATTGAAAAAAATCAAACCAAAATTGATGAAAAGAAAAAGAATGTGTGTGTGGTGGGGGAATAGAATTTGAAGAAAATAGAGAAGTAGGGAAATAAAGAATAAAGTGCAAAAAAATTAGGTGGTGGGGATTAAGATAAAGTGAGGTAAATAGAAATTTATTTCTTTGCCCCAAAGTGTCCAAGTTTTAACACTTGTTATTTCCTCCAGTTTTGTAGCTTTTTTCTTTTTTGTTTTTGTACCAAAACGAATTTTGCCATTTCTTGTCAAGTTTGAAATGATTATGCATTCTAAAGTGAATTAGGAAATGCAAGGGAGAAGAAGCACACTTAGGATAATAGAAGTCATATCTAAAGTAGATTATGGTTGAAAAGCTAAACATGCAAAACCCAGTAAAATAGTGGCCTTAAATGAAGAGAAAAATTATTTCAAGAAAACTAATTGCATCCATTTGGTTTGGTATGGAAGTTTTGCAAGCAGAAAAGTAAAATTTTTATTCTTTATTTAAAATATCTTAAAATTTCAGCTAACAACACAAAAAAGTATTTTTTTTTAAATACTGAATAAAACTAGATTAGATACAAAATCTAAAGTTAGAATTAACACATAAAATGAAAAATATCAGACAATCAGAAAATAATGGTTAATAAATAAGTGAATGTGGAGATCAGCTTTTGTTTTAAATAGAAAATATCAAAATAATCATTTGGGTTCTTAGAATTTGTGTCAATATTTCACATTTTGGAATATATCTTAATTGTTTAATAAGAAAAATACTTGCTTTCATGACACTTGAAAAATGCTTTATAAACAGAAATATCAAGTTTTAGAGATACAATAAATTCTATCTGCAGTGTTTAATGATGGGGATAAGATTTATATTTCTATTAGATTTTGGGACAAAGGAATTATCTTGTAGAAAAGAAGAAAACCATTCTTGAGTAGGCCGGATCACACAATCTTTTACACAACTTTTTCAATGTAACTGGTAATTTATGAAATTTTATGTATAGATAGGCACATTTTATAGGAAACTTATTTAGAGATTCTGAAATTTGGTGTGAAAATATTTTCATTTAGCTCGAAAGAAGGCTAAGATTTTAAAGACAACTTTGGAAAAAATAAAACCAAAAAACATTTTGAGTGAAGTCAGAATTTAAAAAAAAAAAAAAAAAAGTACTGAGTTCTTAAGATAAACCAGAATACATCAATTCTTACTGATTTTATTTTCTGATAAATTAGTAAAAGATTAATGTTGGTCTTGGAAGCTATTTTAATCCAGGAATTGCAGGATAAACTTGCTATTGCATCGATAGATTTTTACAGATTGACATATACACAAGACAAAATATTGATAACATTTATCTACTTTATATTGTGTGTGGATATATAAAAAAAGATTCACAAGCACACACACACACACACACACACAGTTGTTTAATCCTGAGTGTAAAGTACTAAGCAAAAGTTTCAGAAAACTTATTTCATAAAGTAAGTATTGTAACAAAGAGTTTTTTTTCTTCCTTAAAAAGGAGGTGGACCAAAATTAATTTATTTCATTATAAAACAGACAAAAAATATTGCTTTAAAGAAGTATTGCCAACAGGAAGTTAAAAAAAAAAAAAAAAAAAAAATAATTAACAGCAAATGAAAAATGAAAGTAACAGTAGAAGGGGAAAAAAAAAACTATACAAAAATACATAAGATTAAGTTGCTTATATATGAAAGCAAGAACGAATTTGATGTATAAATCTACAAAACAGGATTAAAAGATGAATTTATTTATCTTTGTTTAAAATTGAGGAAAAAAATTCAGTAAATAAATTTACAAATGAAACATACTCCATTTTTGTTTAAATAAAAAGCAAACATTAAACAAAAAGTTGTAGATAAAAAAATGTATATAAAACAGTTCACCAAGATAGAAAAGTGCAAAAAATAATCTTAAAAAAAAGGAAGAAATTAAAAAATAAAGTAAAAAAATAAAATAGTAAAATTCCAATTTGAAATTCGAAATTCTTGCTTTTGTAAGTCCGATATCCTCATCACAACCTGCAGTGATTTGACTTTTGCTTCAACATCTACAGCCACTCAATAACATTTTCTAAATCTTATCTTAAAGGAGAAAAAAAAATCCTTTTTCTTTTTCAGTTGTCCCTTCTCTGTCTACATTGAGAATTAATTCTTTTCTTTATTATCTGGATATCTGATAATTCAGCAGTGTAGCCATCATGGAAATATAGCAAATGATTAGAAAGTTCATTATTGTTTGGTTAAAAGTTGGATGGTGTCAATTAGTAGAGTGCACAATGGAAACCATTTAGTTTATCCCCCCCCCCCAATCTCTCTTCTTTCCAGAAGACAGTTTTTTTTTTTGTTGTGTGTGTGTGTGTGGGGGGGGGGTCGGGGTCTTCCAAAAGTAGAAACAAGCAAAACAAAATTGAAATGATGCAGAAACCGAAAAGATGAACAGGTGGTTAAGGAAAGATGAAATGTCTTCTCATGGAAGAGCAATATCAAATGAAGTCATGAAAGAAAGTCATGATAAATAGTTTCTGGCAGATAAAAAGGACAGTAACGGTTTTGTTGTGACACTATTAATCACGTTTTTGTAAATAGAGAAAAAGCAATCTCTGAATGTAAAGTGACATGACCTTGGCCTTTTCCTTATTAAATTTTGTGTAGCTGTTTTAGTACAAGAAGAAAAAAAAAAAAAAAAGTATTTCTTTGGCACTATGCCACCTGATAATTTAAAATATACTGATCAAATTTGAAGGAAAAAATACAAGTAATCCATTACTTTTGTACTTAAACTGTTGATTTGATGTTCATCTAGAAACAACTTTTGACATGGAAGGGAAAAAAAAATTCTTCATAAAACGGTTGGAATGTGAACATTAAAAACAATGTTAGATTTTCAGTATTTAGGCAGGGGGAGATTTATCAGAAAAATGTTTAAAATTGAGGATACAATCATCACAAAAACAAATTTTTGGAGTTTAAGCTTTTTTTTTCAAATAAAAATATGTTGGCATTATTTAAAAGAAATTTTCTCATCTTCAACAATGTATTCATTTACATATTAGTATAAACAATGTGAATACATATATAAATATACACACAAACAATTTTTTTTGAAGCATTCAGATCTCTCACCCATGCTAAACTTGTCTTTTTAAACTCTTCAGAAAAATAATGGAAACAATGAAACTGTAATAAAATATTAACACCAACAAGCTCACACTTATTTCGACAGCCTGTTGGATAAGACCAAACTTAATTCACACACACACACTCCTGAGCAATAAACTGAACACAGCCAGAAAACAGTTATTTACAAAATGCACATCAAAATAATTGCAATTGAATTAACACAATATCATCATTAACCCAATAAAAATCACATTTTACAAACAACCTGATACAAGCACAGCTCTTTATTTTAGCCAAAGAAAATAATCCCAAGTCTCTTTCACACACACACAAATCATACACAAACTGAAATACACACACACATACACATTTTAAATTAAAGTTATCTATGTACAAACATGCATAATTCCATACACCCAAATATTCCAAAATACATACAATGTAAAATTGCAAATGGAGAAGAGAAGAATTCAATCTTTCAAGATGAATGCCAACAATACAGACAAATATTTCATGAGAGAGAAAACTGATGAGAAAAAGAAAGTCACAAAATCTATGTGTGATACACACATACACTCAAGATGATTAAGTGGTCACTATTTTTTATGTTTTATATAAAATTTGCAATTTATTTGTCATTGTAATGTCTATAAGAAAAAAAAAAGAATATTTTTTAAAATTTTCTATAAGTGTTAAAATAGGACTCACTTTTTTTTTTTTAACAGATCGAAAAATTTATTGTACATAAACTTTTTCCTCATTACAATTTCACCCAACTTCCTTTCAAAAATACATCTGATATATATATATATATATATATATATTTATTCCATCACCACAGCATGTAAACAATGTAGTAGACACTGTCTTCTGCAATTAGCACAATCTATTGACAATAGATGAGCTGAAGAAGAAATTGAAAGTATTGTACAAAAAGTCATAGTTAATAATGATATGGCCAATCTTACCTTTACTTTATCAGAAAATGCCTCCAAAATTTTCTTTTGCTAATATTCATTGCTATTCCAAAAGTACAGGAAATTATTTTCTCAAATATCTTGAAAATTCTAAGGTCAAAAAATTATTTTAAATAAAAATGAGGTTTAAAATTGAACCTTCAGTGCTAAAAATGCAATGCAATGTAACATTCTTTACAAAGAAATTTGGGGAAATAAAATCTATTTTTAATTTTTCCATTTTAATTATCATTAAACATTTGATAATTACAAAATTTGTTTAAAATTATAACCAAATATTAGGAATATTCAAAATAGCCAAATGTTGTTTAGATTCCCATGTTTCACTCTAAATTTAAAATGAAAATTTTAGGCCTTTTCACTCGAAGTAGTAAAAGTTACATTAGCCATCAAATTCTTTTTAAAGCTTTATTTCCTCTTTTCTGAAGAACCAACAAAAAAAGACATGGTCAGATGAAGAAGAATGATTAGCAGCCAAAATAAAATGGCAGCAAGAACGCAGTTTTCCATAGCAAGAGAAATTCAAAATATCAGTTCTTATAAAGGATGCTCATCATGCACACACTGCATCTTCATCCACGGCCCTTACCTAGCAGCAATAATGGCATCAAACATTCAACCTTCTCAGCAGGTAACCCACAGCAACAGGAGCATCTTATTATTCTCAGCCACACCCGAGTGCAGCTGAAGCGAGCGAGATGAGAAATTTTTACAGAGATCTTGGAGCAAAAGGGATGCACTCCAAGAATTGTTGTAATTGTTGATATGGTTTCCTCGTCGCCAAAAGCAGTTCTCTTAAGTAAAAGGACAGCATTCAGGTAATTCCTGAAATGGACAACAGGAAATTATATAGGGTTATCCTGATTGATAACATTAGTGGATAGAAAAAGAAATATTTTCATTGTATTGACTTTGTGGTTAGATCATTTCAAATGACACAAAAGTAGAACTTTGTGCTCAACTGATAGGGTGAAGTTTAACAGCAATTTCACTTGGTTAGATTGATCTTGATGTATGATAAAGAATTGTTAAAAGTTTCAAAATTTCAATGGTGATCAACATTGCTAATACACTGTTTATGATCAATGTATCAAAAGAACATTTATAAAGTTTAATTCTACTATGAGCATTACTACATGAGCATATAACAAATTGCTATTTTTAATACTTTTGTTCAATACTTTTTTAGCCTTAGTGCAAAAACATTTGAAATACATTTCTTAATATTTCAACAGCTTATGATTTTAGGACAATGAGTATCAGACTATAAACTTAATCACACCCAAATTAAAAAAGTAAAAAAGGTTAGAGATTTCATGAAATAAAAGCTCCTGAAAAATAAAAGATAAGCATAATCAAAATCAAACAACCATTTTCAAGCAATAAAAAGAAGATTTGCTGAGGAAAAAATGCTTTACTGGTCTAAGAAATCTTATTAACTCAGTCCCATAAGAATTTTAAAGAATTCTTATCTTTGACAAATTTGTAATCAGTACAACTTGTCACAATCATAAATGTATGAAATGAGAAGGAAATACAGAATTGTGCAATATGAGATTTTAACTCAAAAAGAATATCAAATTTGTTCTCAATACATCTTTAATTTAGATAATAATTTCCACAAAATACTATCTTGAGAAAATGTTTGCTTGTAAAACATTTTTCATAAGAATGTGACAATTTAGGAAGGAAATGAAAAGTTGAGAAAATGAGTTAAAATTTGAAAAGAATTTTGAAAGATGAGGAGGAGGATCTAGGATCAAAAGTTTTGCACGGATGTGAAAGAGAGTGAGAGTGAGAGGTGCAGAGATTGAGATGGAAGAAGTAATAAAATATAGAAAAAGAAAAATGATGATAGATTTACCTCATTCGACTCCATGAGCAAAAATCATAACCAGTCCAGGCTCAAGGATCAGATCCTCCGGCATGTGTTCATTTTCACAAGACATTACGACCACTGCTTGCTTTCCTAATAACATAAAAGAAGAGAAAATTACATTTTAAGGCTAACACTAACAGATTAAATCAGGCAGCAAACAACATATATTGGAATAAATAAAGTGCATCTTTCTCAGTAATTTATGCATACACACAATCTAAATCTGTTATGTCATTAAATATCTTTAAGAATGGTTGATGTTTTCTAGTCAAACTACAAAGAAAAAAAAAAGGATTTTTTATAAATATATATATTTATATATATATATATATATATATATATATATATATATATATATATATTAAAGACATTTTTATGTTTAACGTTCTTATAAACTTCAATTTTCCATGAATCTCGTACATTCATAACTGCTCTGGCGTATCAAATGTAAACAAATGACGTCATATATTAAGAAATGGACAAAGTCCGACAATTTATTTATTAAAGACATTTTTATGTTTAACGTTCTTTAATCTATAAAAAAAGAACGTTAAACATAAAAATGTCTTTAATAAATAAATTGTCGGACTTTGTCCATTTCTTAATATATATATATATATATATATATATGTGTGTGTGTGTGTGTGTCTAAAAAGATATTAAGATGTTAAGTACTGATAACTGATAGTTTAAGGTTTGTTTTTTTTTAAGTGCATTTACACCTATGGTAAAGACATAAAAATTGTTGGATTAAAGCCTGTCAACAGTGTGTGTGTGTGTGTGTGTGTGTGTGTGTGTGTATTTAGGCAGCAATCCTTCTTCCATGCAAGCTTTATTAAATATGACAGACAATGTGCTTTGATTAAGTTTTTTTATAGAATTTCTTGTATTTTTTAATTTTTTTCTTTTCAGTAGATAAATTATACAAAATCTGTCCAAATGTTATATTTTTCTGATCACTTTTGGCTATACATTTAGACATATTCAAGGATGAAATATAATAACTGGAAGTAGATTGATGTATGCATGTATTTAGTATTATAGAATGTTTTATTTTCAAAACAGCCAACATATTGTGTCCATGTTCATAGTTGATATTTTTTGAAGTTTTATATATATATATATATATATATACAAACACATGAATGTAATGAGAATGAAAATAATATATATATTCTAAACAAAAGTTTCAAAAACAGGACTCAATACTGAGTAAATTGTTTTTGTAATTAAAAATTATAATTTTTTGATATAGACAAAAACAATTTAGTCCTCAAACAATACTGTGAACGTTACAATATATATATTATTTTCATTCTTTACATTCATGTGTTTGTGTATATATATATATATATATATATATATATATATCTCATGGCATAAAAATCAACACTGTATGTTGACAGTCAGTTTAATGCCTCAAGCAATCTTCAGATGTATTGTTTGAAGATTGCTTGAGGCATAATGCTGACACTCACAATACAGATGTCCATATCTTCCTTGTCTATATCTACGAACACTATCTCTAATATTGACCACCCCCCCACCTATAAATATAGTAAATTTTAAACAATTATATACATTTCCACAATTCATTTTAAGATCAAGTGTGCATGTGCATCAAACACCAAGTCATGTGCATCAAACACCAAGTCACACTTCAATGCTGACCCCACTAACCTGAAGATGATCACAGAATTAGAACATATACCAGTATGCATCCAAGCATTACAAAGTTTGTCTTCAAACATAAACAATAATGAACCTAATGATGAGGAAGTAGAGAAAGTTATATAAAAGCTAAAGAATAATAAAGCATCACTTGACATTGAGGTTGAACTTTTGAAAATGGCATATTCTCTCCCAGAATTTAAAAACATTTCTAAATTTCATCAAAAAAGTATGGAATCTCAAAAGTGATGTTTATCACAAATTAATGCACACTGGAAAGAAAAGTAGTTGCCAAAACCCTTAGAAAAAAAAAAAAAAAAAAAGAAGAAGAAAAAAAAAAGGGGTATATCAATTCGCTCCATTAAGGATAATGAATTAACTAGGCTCACTGTTCTATGAAAATAACTCCTCACAACCCAATTTGACTTGTTCTGGTAAGTGGTTGTAATGATGGCATCAAACAACTCCAGGAAATTGCTTACCTCTTCAATAGAAAATTGCAAACCTCAAGGCAACACATGGCCACATCAATAGAAAGTTCATCTTCTCATCCATTAGAAAATGCCTTTTAAGCTCTGAATCCACTGAATGTCTAGATCCGATAGAAAAACTATATTGGCCCACAAAGTCGTTCATGTTGAGCGAGGAACTCAATAGGGAAACATTCCAAATTTTATCAGGAGTATGACAAGGAAGAAATGTGAGCCTCAATTTATTTATACACTCCTTAGATTATACTGTGCACAGAAACAAGCACAGATGTGAAGAGATGGGAGCTGATCATTTAACTTATTAATTTCAACTGAATCTCCTAATAGTAAACAGCATTCTTGCTTCCTCTCTCAAAGCCGATGTACAGAGGCTGAAGGAGCTATGCTGATGACAAAGGCATTTATAGTTGGGATAAAAATCAACATCTCTACCAGATCTTCTAAGAAATAGGACTCAAACATTTCCAAAAAATAAAAACTATGATCTTCATTTAGAATGAAAGCAATAATGGCATATACCCTGAATCCATCATAAAAATTCAGCATGTGGAATAAATAAATACAAACAGTTCAAATATCTGGCTGTATGAATCAGTTATAAAAAATTTAATATAAGAGATAAGGAAATTGAATGTAGAATAATCTGTTCTAGAGGTCATTTTGCCCAAACATTGATGCCAAACTCATTTAGGAATATTGCACAAATTGAAATTTTAGCTTTAAGTAATTGAGAAAGAAAAATATAGCATCTCAATATGTAGTCAAAACTGATGAACTTTCTACAATTTAACAAAAAATATTCATACACTTTTTCTGCATACGCCCCAAATCAAGTTTTTGAAATATCACTCATAATAAATGAGGTGGAAATGAGAATCTCTATGAAGATCCATTTTAATATTTACTTGCAAAAAGTTCTTAGACCAACCCACTTCCCAAAATCTGACTAAACATCAAAGAAATTTTTCTAAGAACTTTTCAATGCTGCCTCATAAATTGGTTAAGAGAGTGTACAATATTCTTATTTTTAAATTTTGTTGTGGTCATTATTGTGATTATATTACTTAGTATACAACAATGGGATATTTTTAGACAATTAGGAAACAATAGATTCCTTTTGGATAATCTTTAAATATTAACAATCTAAAATATTTTTCTTTGAACAATTTTGGTTTAAAATATATTTGTTTTAAATTGGTTATATTTATGGGGAGGAAAAGAACTAAATATCAGAGACAGAGAGTTTGGACATATGAATCAGCACTGATTGATTGTCAATTTCATGCCTGATGCCATCTTCAGATCATGGTCTGAAGATCACGAAGCATGAAACTGATAGTCACTATGCAATGTTGATTCCTACGTTCACTCTATATAAAGTGGACCAGATATGTAAGAACATGCCTACAGGGGGCCATTAGCAGAAAATGACCTAATGTAATGTTATACAGCATGCATCCATTTTTAATATTCTCATCTCTGTCAGATCTATCAAGGGCATTAACATAGCAGCTTCCAAACTGATACAGGAAATTAAAAGACACACCATAACCATACTCATGACACTAGACACCAATGATATCAACTCATGGATTTTTGAAAGTGGCCAGGTTCTTTTCAAAGTTAAGAACAGGTCATCTGTGGCCAAAAGAAAGAAAATGATCAGATGTTGTAAGGACAGCTGAGTTTTTCCAGCAGGTCTTGGGCATCATAAAACATAACCCCCAGCAAGTTGGCAGAGTTCACTCTCGAACATGTGGTGTAGGATGATGAGAAGAGGACCGTTCATATCCAAGAAGACCCAGGAGAAGCATCTGATCTGATTGAAGTACTTGCTCAACAAACCCCAATATCTCAAGGAGCCTAGCATTAGAAGAACTTTAGCCAGGTACCAGAGGTTAACAGGAAAACTGTCTGGTTAATCTACAGTCCCCATGGTGATGCACATTAAGTTTACATTGTCAGTTATGATCAGGCCATGCTAACTTCCACAGGGCTTCAGGATTCATGTCACTGTTTATGATGTAGTGCTGAACACTGATCGATCCCTGTATCAAGGCAGAGAAAGATATACATGTTTCAACAAGAGATTGCTCCTTCACCACAAACTATTTGACCCAGTAGTGACTGGCCAAGTTTTCATCACGCTGTGTGTGTATATTATTATTTTTATTATAAGAGATTAGAAACATGTTGAAATTCCTACACAAAAACTTTCATGTTTCAATACTAGGATTCTACTTCTTTGTAAGTAACTAGTGATTAAATGATTTTTAAGGAAATTTAAAAACAAAGTATTACTTCTTTTCTAAAAGTTAAAGGGTCGGGAGACATAAGGTCAGAATTAAAAATAGATTTCTGGGTATGTCTTGATTAACTAATTAAATGACAGATCTACATTCAAAAGAAATTTAAGCTCAGAGGGTGGAGGTGGGTGAGTTATTTTTTTCATGACATGATAAACTGGAACATAGACATGTCATCATTGACAATTGCAATAAATATATATATATATATATATATATATATATATATATATATATGAGGGAGGTGGGGTCAACACTAAGTGTTGACAGTGTTCCATGCTTAAACACAATCTTCAGGCCTTATGTTTGAAGATTGTGTTTAAACATGGAACAGACTGTTGCCACTTAATATCCACTCTTATATACACACACACACACACACACTATCCCAGCTATCCTATATTTAAACTAGGTTGGTGAAGTATGAAATAACTGACTATATAACAAAAAAAACATTCTTTTTAAATTCTTAATCAAGTTCAATAGATCTTCTATGAACTCACTCCTTTGACAGAGACAATGAAAAAAAAATTCAGAGTGAATTGAAAATATAGATTAAAGCCGACAATAATGATTAAATGAGAAAAAAATAAGGAAACCTTTATAAATTTGATGTCTCAATATTTTATTTTAGCTTCATCAGAAACTTTTGGGAATAAGAGAAGTGCAATAATATTGATACATCAAATTCCATGCTGTTTGTTTTTCATTGATCAGGTAGAATATTGAAACATCTCCATGTTTCCCCTCATTCCCAAATATTTCTAATGAAGTTAAAATAGCAAGAAAGGTTTTTCTATGTGTTCCTTATGTAATCTTACTTCTGAGTAGATAAAGAGACAAATTATTTCTGCAGTCTTAGGCTTGTACCATAAACTGAAAGTTTCTCTGAATGAAGGTACCATTTTCAAAATGAATCCTCTATTTAATTGCTAAAAAAAAAAAAAAAAAAAAAAAGTTTGAGAGAGTCACATTAAGTACAGCTATCCAACATTAATATACCAAGCACTAGAAGATTTCTTTTTGTTTTACTGCCCATGTTTTTGAGACTTTCATTTCAGCCCATCAATCACAAATTGTTGCAAGAACCTCAAAGTTTTCAATATATAACATTGTGGCAGTCTTAAGTTAAGCAGAATAAATTAAAGTCCCTGTGACATTATAGCAAGTGCCACCCCCATCATGCTGCTATTTAATAATCTTTTGCAATAATAACATCAAGTAAAACAGTTACAGTAGAGATTTTAAAATCATCTTCATTATACAAGAGTACTTCAGATTCTCTTCAACGTTTATGGAGGAGGGGAAAGTAAAAAAAAAAAAACAAAAAAACTCATAATTTGTATAGATATATCAAAACCTCTGAACTTAAAAAGCAATTTTTTATACTACTGTTGTTGTTGTTACTATTCTCAACTGAAACTCAATTCTTTATCCCAAAATGATTTAAAATTGAACACATGCACTTTTCTTATCAACACAAAATCAAATGTGATCCAAATTTAGTAAATAATGCTTTTACTTCACATTAATATGCCAAACACCTACTATAGTGATGAGTATCTATTTTCTGTTGGGTCCATTGCCAAAATTCTTTTGGGAACAGGAGAACCACTGACAATTGTTTTTGTTTAGTAGCATATCAACCTCTAGGTGCAATTTAATACCAAAATCTAAATATTTTATATGCAAATGTATTTCTTTTTTTAGGGGGTGGGTAATAATGGTTTTAGTGATACAAGTTTTACTAATTAACCCATAGCTGAAGGGAGAAAAGGTAGATTCCTACCTTTCCCATGGGTATTTCTGTGTAAGTGAACATAACAAATCCAACTGAAATTGGAACTCAGCTCTCTGATTAATAATTCCAAGCTACATCACCTGCATGTCCAAGCTTACAGCACCTGGTATATCCAAACAGTCACCCATCTAAGTACTGACCAGGCTTGATGTTGCTTAACTTCAGTGATCATACAGGAAACAGTGTTTCAACGTGGTGTGGCCATAAGCTACTGGCAATGAGAGTACGTTTAATGAGAACAAAGAGTTTGGTATCTGCTGTTGAAATCATTCTGCTTTTAGTGTTTCCAAAGATTTTACATTGTTCTCATTTTACTTACAAACACGTTTTCTGCTTTCATATAAGAGCACTTTTGATTTCTTAAAGTAGTCTCATAAATTCACTTACTGTATTTAGTATTTTGGGTTCTCCATGTGAAGGAGGAAGAGGGAGAGAGACAGAGGCAAGGGGGTGCTGACCTGGTATCCTTTTTGTGACATAATTCTCATACTGTCTCCGACTTAGTTGCCTGGTTTCAAGCGTGCCAAGACCACTGGGCCAGCGTCGTTCATGAGCATTTTCCATTAATTCATTGACAATGTGAGGAGGGCAGCCACTGTCAATGAGGGCACGTTTAATAACTGCCTGCAGTACTGTATCCGGCGTTGAAATCATTCCGCCCCACCGAGTGACACGTGCCTTCTGCAGGTTGGACACCCATCTAGAGAGAAAAGGTACATCAAAACATCAGAAAGGGTAGCTGGACGTAAGTAGAAAGGATTGGTTGGAAAATAAGTAATCATTTTAGGGGATCACAGAATGGCATCAAGTTTATATGTAATACTGTTTGCATAGAAAAATGTTTGCTAGAGTTCTCATGCATAAAAAAAGAAATGAAAACATATCTAATTGATTATTTTTAGAATCATCATATTACTAAAGGGAATTTTAAAGAATCTGAAAATGGGAGGGGAGATTACAAAATAAGTCAATTAGGTATTCTTTTTTTAAATACAAATTTAAAGGTTATTCTTCTCTGTCTACACTAAGTAAATAGCAACATTTTAATTGTAAAATCTCCGATATTTGTTCTAGAAATGTAAAAAAATTTTAGACAAATGCAAAACAAATTAACTAAATCTTTTAAGGTATTTGATATATTTATACAACACATGTGGTAAGTCCACTATTCCTCACAGAGTCAAAAATAAAACTTGGTTAATGACCTCCTTTGAAAAGCCCTCAGAGATCAAGGCATTTGTGTCCCATTTAGGGTGATTATTTGTGGTGCTGGATCTTCAAAAGTTAAATCAACCAACGAATGATACATTAAAATTAGTCATTCAGAACTCTGCCTGGAGGCAAAAACATTGGTACTTTTAAAGAGTGATAGTTTTGGATGCAAGACAATATAATTATTATTCTTTCTCTAGCAGGTAAGTAGAGATTCTTTTGCTTATAAACTTTAAGAACAGACTTTTCTCTCCTTTGAGCAAATATAACACTCTGTTTTGTATATAAAGTCTTATTTCATGTTACATTATTTTTAGTGGGTACATGTGTGAGTCGCTATCCTTGATTTTATTTTATTAAACAGTGAAATTAATAACAACTGGCCTAAAATGAGAAGTCCCACTAAAGAAAAATTTTGCCTCTAACAGGAATCAAACCTGCATTCCTTTTTCCCAATCAGGGAAACCACTTTTTAAGTCAAAGTGTGCTGCAACCAGTTTGGCCATGGAGACCAGCCTGACAGGGCAAAGTTAAAATTACCTATGTCAAAGGCACCTTTATATAGAATTGTACAGTACATGTGCATTTTTGATATTGTTTTTCCATTGGTATACACATACATGCAATTGATTTTCTTTATGTTGGTCACATCACAGACAAATAACAATAATTGTAAGCACAAAGATTCTCTACATTGATATGCCTGCAATATGAACATGTATTTAACAAATACTTTGTAATATAAAATTCAAGGATAGGATCTTTTGTATTTTGACTTTTTTCTGAAGCATCTTATGAACTACTCCAGATCTATTTCACATCTGTGTTATAGAGTCTTGATAAGCAAACAGTTTAGAAGGAATTCAGAAGTAGAGTAAAGACAGTGGAAAACCACTTCACTATCTTTGCAAAGTTCACAGATACAATAAAAAAATCTAAAACAAGAACTGTGGAGAGTTATGATTATCAATATCTTCAAGGGACATAGCATTAAAAAAAAAAGTCATTTTCAGGAGATTTTAAAATAATTTTGTCTATTTTAACCATATGATTTTAATCCTGACACTTGGCTAGCTTACTCTAAATTTCTCCATTCTTTTATCATTTTGAGTCTGCTATCAATTTGATCAGCACAATATAATCATTGTTTTTGTCAATTTGTTTTAATGTGATTTTTCAATCAGCTACCAGCTTTTGTTAATTTGCTGGTTTATGAATCAGACATTACAGCATTCTTGGCCTGAACAAGAAATTTGTTAAAAGAAAAAAAGAGGAAAAGACAGCTGATGTTAGTCAGATTTTGGGAATTAGGTTGAGCCAAGAAGCTTTTAGCCCTCTTAATACAATACAATACAATGTTAGAGAAAATGTGCAAGCCTAAATGGTCAGCAAAATTGACAATCTCAGTTTTTTTGGGTTTTTTTTAACTGGAACTGACAAAAGATTGACAATTCTTATATTTGAATTTATTTTTCAACTTCAAAAACTTAAAAATTTTAAGTTTCCAGTTTGTTCTATTATTTCAGAAGAAAACTTAAAAATATGATACAACTAAAATTGGATTTCATCACCTAATAAATATTTATTATGCACAAAGGTTTTTAAAAAAATGAAGTTTTTGTCTTTAGTATTTAGAAAAATTCTGATTTTATATATTCAATGTAAAAAAAAAAAAAAAATAAAAAAAAAATTGTTCATTTTTATAAATATGCTGTCTAGGCATCAAAAACTTGTAATACTTTGTACAGTGAAGCATCTACAAGTTAAAAATATCAAATTCCCCGTGGTCTTCAGTAGGCAAAGTTAAAGAAAATTAAACAGCAACAGAGTTGGTTTACCTTACAACATCTGCATTTTCCATTTCTGTTTGTATTTCTCTTATCCGAGGGTTTGACACCCTCATACACCGCACATATTCCTGAAAATAAGTAATTAAAGAATATACAATTTAAAAGAGACAAGTTAATGGTTTATACAATTTGATTCAAATCTTAACAGTTACAAAAATAAATTAACAATTTTAAATTAATGATGTCTTATAAAAAAAGAGAGAAAGCACTAAAGGGAGGAAAAAAAAGGAACATCCAAAAAGTACTTAGCAAAATTGACTTATGATTAAGTCTAATGCACAAAAAATGTAAATATTACAGAAATTTAAAGAGAGCCAAGGTTGCTAGATTTAGCTACATTTCACTAAGAAATTTTGAATTGACTTTCTCTAAATTAATAACCAAAAATGTTAAAAGCAACATAATTTAAAAGTACAGCATTTTAAAAGTAATCCTGTATGGCAACTCAGTGTAACAGTAGAATTGTCTTTTATGATTTTCCTTTGAAATAAAAGTATTGTACAAGAATATACATATCTTAAGTTAAGGTCTAATAGTCAAACAAACACACAAAAAAAATGTCCCAAGTTTAAAGTTTCCATAAAAAAATTTTTTTTTTTTGAATTTAAAAAAAAAAATGTAACTCTTGAAATTTAACATTTCTTTCATGAAAGACTTCAACTAAAAATCCCTAATAATTTCTGTTAAAAATATTGTACAAGTAAAATTTGATTCGTTTTTAAGAGAAAAAAAAAATCTTAAATTAATTTTATGTTACATTTCAGTATAAATCAGGTTTGCACTTTAAAGGAAAACAAAAACTAGTAAAGAGAAAGGCTGAATTGTTGAAAGAGGAAAGAAAAAGATGAGTAGAAACAGAAATGGTTGTACAAAATAAGTGAGAAATATCATTGACAGGTAATTGTAAGGAAATGAAGTATATGGTGGCATGTACAAATGCATAAAAACAAACAACATTTAAAAATAGAGATTCTGGATCAAAGAGAATGTTGATTGGTTATAAGAGGTTACAATTTTGTTCCCATTCCTCTTGCTGACAAAACATCAAAAACATCCCCCAGCTTGCTAAAAATGATTTAAAACAAGATGGAGATAACTAAGTAAACTTGCAAGTAATCAATATACAATTCAGAATTGTAATGATTACATGTTTACTCTTAAGATCATTATGAAGGAAAGGTACATTTTGTGCCCATAATGCAACACACTAGTTTCTCTCACTATATAAGTGGTTATGCTTATAACCACAGACAAATTGATTTTCTTATTAAACAGTCTGGACTTTTAATAAAAGATCATTATTATCTAATCATACAACAAGTAACTTACAAACTGAGTATACATTTCCCCAACAAAGAACTGGTTAGACATTGTAAGGAGTTGGGGTGGGGGTGCATACACATGATTAGAAAACACACAAGTGAGAAAGAAAGAAACAGGTAAATAGAAATGCAGGGAATAGTTAATAAAAAGTTAATATTTTTATAAAGAATAATCTGAACCAGATTGTGTATCTTATCAGGAGTAACTTTGAAAATTTGTTTATATCACACACACTTCAATATTTTGTGATATTTGATTCAAATGTTCCCATTAAGACGAATAAAGATATTACCTTCAGCAGTTGCATTTCTCTTTTGTGTTCCTTGAGCTGTAATTTGTGTTCAGTGAGTTCAACTTGAATCTCTGACATTTTGTGCTGTTGTTGCTGTACTAAATTCCTCAGTTCTCTGACACAGTTGTGGTCCTAAAAACAATGACCATTCCAGTATGACATTAAGAAAGTGAGACTGTCAATGTTTTTCCAAGCTTAGAGAGTTTTAAAAAAAAAAAAGAATTTTTTTTTTTTTTACAAAGGTGTATTTTGAAAACAGGTATTACCAAAGTTTTAAAAAAGAAACAACAAAGCAGTTAAAGGATCAAGCTTTCCAGCCAATAATATCTGACCACATTTTACAAGAAAGCTTGTGAATCCAGATTATGGTTAAGTACAGGTTCATATGCATCTAAATCATGAAATAATTCGGCATAAAATGTATTAACAGATGCTTTTACTGAAGAAGGTTTTTATAGATCAATGACCAAAGGTTCGGTTCTCAGCCTACTACTGATGAGTTTTGTTCCACTATTATAAACCAAATGGACAAGGAAATCATCTCATCCTTACACCTATGTCATCCTTCTCATGAAAAAGGACTTTCTCAGACACCATAGCTCGAGACTCAGGGTTGGACATTGGGGATAGCAATGCAGGACCAAACAGTGTGGAAAGGGAATGTCAATGGAATTACAAGCAACCATGTGGAGGTCTAAGGATGATGATGATGATGATTATAAATCTATTCCAGAATAGTTTCAGCCTTGTAAATGCTATCTCCTGATAAATTTACATCTACAAAATTCCTTTTTTTTATAAAATAAGAAATGATAAAATTCTTTTTTGTGCTGCATCTTAAAGTAGAAAATGTATTCTCTATATGAGAAAATGAAGAGACAGTTGAAATTTCTGGGACAAATCATGAAGAAAGAAAATTTAATATTCACTGGACATACTGAGGGAAGGTGGCATGGAGGGAAACAGTATGTAACCTACCTAATGAATAAATGACAGAACTAGGACAAAGAGAGAGATGGTATAGAGTCAAACATTGCTTAGAGCTATAAGAATAAGAAGCTGTAGAGAACTATGATTAACCATGACCTGAAGGGACAGAGTGCATAAAAGAAGGTAGGTGGTCCTTAAAAGTTCTCAGCTCAACTCACTTTCCATCATCTGCCAAAATGACCAAAATCTATTTTATTTTTATTGTTTTGTTGGGGAAGGAATTCTTGGTTAGGCAGGCAACTTTCCAGCACCCCATAGATATGTTTAAAAAGAAGTAAAAATTCATATTACAGATAGAATTTCTTGAAAATTTGGCAAACATGGCGATAAGATGGAATATGAAAAGCATGGTTTTTCCAATGACACCACTTTGGCAATGTTTATTGTTAAACCTTAAAAAACAATAATTAGAATTGGAATAAAAGCTAAACCCATGATAAAAGTGAATTTATACATTTTTTTTTGTTCTTGAGAATTTACAACAAAAATATTAAATTTATTTGATTGTTTATTTACAAGAACAATTTTATATTTGCAACATGCTAAAAACTAATGCATTTAGAACTAAAGCAATGCAATTTCATCATTTATCAATTTATGATAGTGTTTATTTTTGTTGTAAATTCTCAAGAAAAAAAAAATGTTTAAAATCACTTTCATATGTTTAGGTTTTATTACAATTCTAACCATCGCTTCTTTGAAGCAATTAAACATTGCTGAAGAGTGAAGATAGTTAAAAAAAAAAAAAAAAAGAAAAAAAAAGAGAGTTGTGTCATGGGAAAAACCATCATTTTGACACTACATCTTATTGTGGGGATGTTTATCCATGTTTGTCAAAAATGTTTGTCAAGAATGTTTTACAAATCAACCAAAAAAATAAATGAGACAAAACAATAAAAATAAAGGTACATTTCTATATATAACTAAGGTACCTCTAAAGAAATGCAATACCTAAGGTTTAAAATTAATTTCTAAAAATGAAAAGTCTTTTTTTTTTTTTAAAGCTTTTAGTCTTACTTTCAAGCTATTAGATTAAATTTAATATTTCCAATAAGCAATATACTTTGCTGTATTCCATGATTGTAAATGGATTGGAATTATTTTTTTTTTAATTTCTAAAAAAAAAAAAAAATAAATAAATAAAAAAAAAAAAAAATAAAAAAATAAATAAATATAAAAAAAGTCATTTTTAGCTATTTGCCAGCACAATGTAACTCTCTTTATGAAACTTTATTTGAGGAATATTAGCTAATTTAAAGTTTAATTAATCTGATTTGAAACAAATATTTAATTTTAGCTTAAAATATCACAAAAATGCATTTCTTTTTACACAGAAGTAGGTGTTTTTTATGAGGTATTGGCATATTGTCAGTGGGGAGATTATCTAATTTATTTCTACATTAGACATAACTGTAAAAATTACTTTAATATAATGTGAGCACCTTTTTTATATAATTTTTAACTACTCAGTAATCTTAATAATTTAGGAAAATATTCTCTGTAATCTAATGTTTTATTGAATTTTAGATACTTTCTGGCTTTAAATTTACTATAGTTATTGCTCTCATTTTATGATAATGTTGTGTATGGACGTCTGTATTTACAAAAATTGGCATGTTTATAAACACACAATAAAAATTCAATATTCTTAAAATACTGGGGTAATTGTAGTAAGCGTTCATTTCATTTATGAAAAGTAAATATAATTTATATTTAACAATATCACCTAACCTGTACAAATACAGAATTTTAAAACATTTAAAACTTTATAAATCAGTCTAATTAAAATTTAATAAAAAATGAAAACAATACTTGTAAAAATTCATTATTCATTGAAAGATTTCTTAAGATAGTAGTGTCCATAATGTATCTTATTCATAAATTAAGTTTTTCTAATTAAATAACATTTTAGTTTTATTGCATTTTTTATTTTACATTTCAGAGCAGATTTTTTCATAACTGATGTTCCTGCTTTACAAGAAAAAAAAAAAAAAAAAAAAAAAAAATTGATGATTTAAATTTTCCAAGCTTATAATATAAACATTAAGCCATACAAAAATGAATTTCTTGAAATTTCCTAAAATTAAATAGGGGTGGGGGGGATATGGCAGATGTAAAAAAAATAAAAATAAAATAAAATAAAAATGTTTCTAACCAAGATTTTCCAAAATAGAAACAGTTCTAAAATAATTTAAATCATTTGTGAATAAGCCCTAAAAGTATCTGATACTTGCAAGAATTTCCAAATCAATGTGTTTTTTCCCCACAAAAAGATGCTAAAATTTCCTATACTAAATGGTCCCTCAATGATGCAAGAAAAACAAAATTTTAACAAAAATTTTCAATGTTTGAAAAAGGATCAAGAAATATAATTTAATAATCAAAAAAACCTTTGGTCTTTTCTCTTAATAATAACAAAGATTTTGACAGTAGAACTTTGTTTTTATTAAGTTTGGGGCATTTTTTCATCATGTATGCTCATTTTTCAGTGAATCTTTGGAGCTACCTATATATAACAGATGTAGACACAAAGAAAAACCAGAGACTAAAAATTTAATTTTAATCACAGAAAAAAAAAATTTCTTTTCAAAAGAGGCCTAGGTAGATCTGAAAATGTAGTCAGGTCTTCTTTTCCTCAATGACTAGAAGTGTTGGTAAATAAAGTGGCTTAGAGAAAATAAATATTAGTATCCACTTTTACCTTGCATTTCAGATTTTTGTGGAACAAGTTTTAAAATCCATCAATAAGCTCTCAAAGAGTTTGGAGAAGAGAAAGGAAAGAGTGTGAGTTCTTTTTTGTTCTAGAGGAGCACGGTAGGGAGAGAGAGAGGAAGGACAGTGATCTAACTTTCTCTCTCACTAACTCATTCTAAAGTATTGAGACAGAGAGAGAGGAAAAGATCTTTCTAAAACAAGAGTGATTTTCCTTGTTTGCTTTAATGAGACCATTAAAAAAATAAATAAAAAAAACCATTAATGTTCAATTAAATCAGTAAATAAAATTCACTATCAGATATTTTTTGTTTAAATTTATTAAATATGTCCCCCTTTCCTGAAAACTTTTTCTTTCACTGCATAGATGTGTGAGTAAGAAGACACTCTTCTCCAGATCACCATTGTGTTGTTTAGGCAGTCATTTAGTAATCATTAGGTTGTTATTATTTCTGCTTTGTTTATTGAAAATCTAGATGGTTTCAGGTGATCTATAATTGTAGATAGTCGATTGTATCAGACATGCTCACATTATTAACTGTTCCTCTTTATCTAGAAATGCTGAAGAGAATCTTGTCTTGTCTGTAGTTTTATAAGAGACACTAAAAGAATTTATTTTCATTCTAATTATGCAAATTGAATTGTAAATGGATTCATTTCTTGCTTACAACTTTTGCATAAGCTCATTAAATTTTGACAGAATCTAGAATAGAATAAGATCTTTCATTGGTTTGCTATAGAAAATCAACTGTCCGATACAATATAATAATAAAATACCTCCAAGTTACTCAACTATTTTTAATTGCCCTGTCTGCAGAGGAGTAAGACCCACCACCTACCAAGAAAATGCTTATGGGCCCAAGAATAAATTGTTGAAATTTACCTATAGAATTAATAATAATAATAAATATATATATATATATATATATATATATATATATATATATATATATAAAATGTCTGTCATGCATGTGTACTTACAGCACTTCTTTATGCTTGCAAGACATGGGTGGTTTACCAGAGACAAATGAAAAGTCTTGAAAGATTCCACCGTACCGGTGGAATCTTACGTTGTATCCTTCACATTACCTGGCAAATGCTTGTGATGTAGATGTACTAGAGAGGAGTGGCGGTGATAGTATTGAGTCCTTGATACTAAAATATCAACTTTGGTGGGTGAGCCACCTTGTCACAATGGATGACAGCCATAGTCCAAAGCAATTGTTTTATGGTAAGCTGCAAACAGGGAAGAGAAATCTGCCAAAGATGCACAGGACTGCATCAAGGATGCGAGAACATTGCTTATGAGCACTGGGAAAATGTGCATTTGATCAAAGAATGCACTTTAAAAGGACTTTAAAAGAGATATACATAAAGGATGCGTCCCTGTTGAAAGACACCCGCAACATTGCTTGTGGTAGATGTTGATGTCTGGTGTAAGCACTGGGAAAAGAATGAAATGGATATTTGCATTGTGGGTCCAGAAGCAGATTCATGTGACATTTTAAATTGCATGATAATGTAACGCCCCCCCCTGGCACCTCTTAAGTTCTCTGTTTGTGAGATATGTAGGTCCCTTGCTGGGCTAAAGGCCAAGATTTGTTCAGCACATTAGTAGATTTTTCCAAAAGATATGTAGTAATGGCTGTACTCAGACAAGAGTTGGAAAACACTGTGTGTGTGTGTGTGTGTGTATGTATATATATATATATATATATGAGAGAGACAGAGAGGTTGGGGAGTTGTTTTTAATATAAAATCAGCCAACAAGGTTAACATATGATAAAAACCACTAGCCCAACTTTTTATCTTTGATGCCTTATTTTATCTCATCACAACCACCTGTTAAGCCAGCCTACACACTTTTCTAATCTATCTTTTGTCTTTAGCTAGGTTACATTTTTATGTCATTTTCCTTATATAAAAAAAAAAATATGTTGAGTTTTGCTATTTTTTGACTGACCCCCTAAGTCCAAGTGATGAGTCATATAGGAAAATAAATGAAGTCAATGTACAAGGAGTTTGTAATTGCTGAAATCTTATAGATTTCAATGAGTAAGCAAATGTATTGATTTTGATATTTGGAATGCTTACAACTTGGTGTCACCAGGGAGGCAATCTTTTTCTCTCTCAAACTGTGAACAGCCATCCTGCATTAAGCTTACCTCCTCTAATGGTTTGCACCCCAACTACCTGCTATCACATTTACCAACACCTCTTCTTCAGTTGTTTTTTTTTTCCATAAAGAAAAAAAAAGGTACCTACATCTTCACATTTCTTCTCTTTTGAATGATAAACTATCAAAAGTACTATGTATGTATCGGGTTGCAAGCAAATACCTCTGTATTTTATGATACATTTAATAAAAGGTAGGGAATGTAAACTGAGAAGTGGGGGGATGAAATAGGTGATGGTTTAACAAAAGCAAAACTGAATCAGTTTTTCTTGTCTTTATCTCAAATGACACCAAGTTCAGTGGCTAGTTGTAATGATGATAACTACAAAATCTTAACTTCCACCTGCAATACCAAGTCTAGGAAAGGTTCTTCCATCAATAGAATATTTGAGAAATGTATAGTAAAATATTTTTTTTTTTTTTTAAATCACTTCACCCCAAACAAGGCAATAAAGCCACTAAGACACAAGGGATTACTGAATGTGAAAGAATAAGAGAAAAAAAAAAAAAAACACAGAGAAAGAATAGGAATTAAGGAATTAGCTTCTATAACAATGTTAAATTTTGGTGTGTAAATCAGACATTATTTGGGATGGACACATTATCAATAAAACTGAAAGAAAATAAATGCCATTGACAAGTAGACAAAAATGAATATTTGCCATCTTAATGTATGGTGTGATACAACATTTTTTTTTTTTAAGTTTTCCATCCGACTACATTCTAAAATTGCATAATATAAGTGGATGTTGAAAAGTTCTCAGCCTAAACAAAAAAAGATTAAAAATTCAGGTGTTTGGTCTTTAGGAAGTGGATCATCTTCAGACTTAAAGATGGATACTGAAATTGGTATATTAATGTAGGTTGCTAAAAAGTAAAGGTAAAATGAGTTTACTATATGAAAGAAAAGAAATATATATTCTCTCCAACCCACCAAATTTTTATATTAAACTCATTCATCTTATAAACTCTTTACAAAGTATAAATCTATATAAAGTATAAATCAGCTTCTTATTCCTTGTCTATTAAATATTCCATTAGTAAATTGTATTTTACAAGTACCAAATAATTATGTTTTAAGCAGTGGACTAAATCCTGCTCATTTTAGACAAAGGAAACCACCTAAAGAGATAGTGAGATCTTCCTCTTGACCATTACAATATTCCATGTGAATATTGGATTTTACAAGTAACAAATTAGATGAGGACTAAACAGGGAGGCCATTAGTATATTTAATAATCTAGTGGTTACCTGTATTTGAGTAGACACTCCATTTATTTTTAACCATATTTATTTCATCTCCCCCAGAAACTTGTTAAAGAAAATGTGCTCTTCAGCAGGATTCGTTAACTGGAGAAACCATCATCTGATCCAGCTACAAAGAGCTTCAGAATCAAGCAATGTTCTATTTGCCTTTAAAGCACATTCAGATTTTTTCAAAAGGCATAATTGCTCAGTTTCATATCCAAAATGTTAACAAAGCAATTTCTAAATAGTTAATAGATTTTATTTCTTTTTTTAATTTTGTTTTTTTTAATCTGACATTTTTATTAGGATATTGAATCCTGCTTGAGAGTACATTTTCTTTAATAAGTATTCTATGTCTATATAAAGGTAAATGATAAAAGTCCTCATTCTTAAGACAAATCTAACCTGTACTTTGCTTTAAGATATTATTAAAAAAAATTTAATTGCAAAATTAAACAGTTTCTATAGATTTGTAATACATGAATGCAAACTTTAAACCAACACTTTTCAAATGCCAATTGTTAAGCTATCTGTGCATGATTCTAATACAATATTGGCATATTTCTGGAAATAGATTAATTTGCATGACATTGGAAAAAATTATTTTAAATATTTTGAATCAAATTGAAAGTAGCTTATGGTTAATTTGCTAACCAAGACACTTTATAGACTGGAGTGGGGGGGGAAAGGACACAGTTTTTCTTCATTTCTCATTGTATGTAAAAGGTTGACTTTGCAAAAAAATACAGAAAAAACAAATATGAAGAAAAAAAACAGACAAGCTGAAAACAGTAAAACAAAAAACAAAGCAGCAAACAAGTTGCAAGTGCTAACACCAAAACAAAAAACACCAAAGCCAAAAAACACCAAAGCCAAAAAACACCAAAAACAAAAAAGAAACAAATAAGCTGCAAGCACTAACAAAAAACAAACAAGTACTAAAGACCAAAAATAAACAACAAAAAAAAAAAAAAGCTGCAAGCAATAAAACCAAAAAACTAGCTTGAGGCACCAAAAACCAACAAAAAAAAAAAAAATCTTCAAGCACCAAAAAAAAAACAAGTTGTAAGCACAAAAAACTTATAAGCAGTAAAAAAAAAAAAAAAAAAAAAAAGTTATAAGCACTAAAAAAATAAAAAGAAAACAAGTTTCAAACACTTAAGACAAAAAAACGAGGTTCTAGCACAACAAACAAAAAAAGGTACAAGCACTAAAAACAAAAAAGACAAAATAAGTGCAAACTCTAAGAACAAAAAATAAATAAAATAAACTGCAAGCACTAACAAACAAACAAGCTGTATACAGTAAAACAAAACAAAGCTACACGCTCTAAAAATAAACAAACTGCATTCTTAAAAGAAAAAACAAAAAAGCCATAAAAACTAAAAATCAAAAAACAAAGACACTATTACCAAGCATGTCTATAAGTGATTAAAATCATTGCTTGAAAGTTTTAAATTTTGTATCAAGAAAATGAATTAAGAATGATTTATTGGTTTTTTTATTATCAAAAAAAAAAAAAAAAAAAAAAAATCAAATTTCAGAGTGAAAGAACATTGGTTAAATATGAAAATAATGTCAGGTGGTAGGGGAGATAGAATTACAGTTAACAACAACAAGAGTGTGGTCACTAACCTTTAGTTCGTCCATAGGTACAACCAGTCCACATCCTGCCTCACAGTGGACAGGTTTCTTAGGATTATGTTCACACTCCTGGAGGTGGGCCTGCAGCATATCCAAATTAACCACTGCGGTACAGCCGTAGTTAACGTTTTCACACGTGATGCAGAGTCGTGCCAATAAATTGCGAAGGATGCGGGGTACAGGCTTCAACTGGTTCGGAGTGATAGGATTGCGGTCAACTGGACAGGTTGGTTGGCGGGTCAGCCACTCATGGATGCATACAGAGCAGAAGGCATGCTCACACTGTGGGGCCTAGGGATAAAATTAAAACAAATCATGAATAACAAAAATGTCAACATTTTTTTTCAATCACTAAGAGAATTATCTCATCTCACATAGAGATCAAAATATAATCTAACATGTTTGAAAAACTTTGGCAATACATGAATGATACTTTATTCAGCTAAAACCTGAGCCAGTTTTTGTAATGAGAGTCAAAAGTTAACATTCTTATGGAGTAAATAAAGAATTTAGCTGAAGAGTAAACAAAAAGTAAACATCTTATTTAGGAAAAAGAATTTATGTTTAAGTGGTATAAAAAAAAATAGAAAACTTCAAAACTTATAATCTTTGTCATCAAAGAATAAAAAAGTGGAGCCATGAGAAGTGATGCTTGTGAGAAAGATTTTATGAAATCCTGTAAATGTTCTAATGAAAAGCAATTTTCAAAATTTGCTCAAGAGAACAAAACGGGAGAGATATAAAATCATTTGGAGGGAGATTAAAATCCAATTTCTATTTCTAAAAGGTTCACTGCATTTAAAGTCAATCTCATCTCAAACACTTTAATCAGTCAAAAGGAAATAAAATTAATGCTATTTTAAGCTTAATTACTTTGAACTAGAAATTAAAAAAGGTTTTCTAATTTGCATATACTGAAAGTTTCATAAATCTGAGTGGCTTTCTGTGGGATAATGGTTACTGAACTAGTTAACTGAACCATTACTACTGTGTACCGAGTAATCCTCACTGTGTCCGCATATTTGTGGCCTTGTATCAGACAAATAAGATAAGATTTGTAACTACTTAATATTCTGTCATCAGCAGAATTTGTTTATGAAAAATCTGGATGAGTAAATAAAAAAATATAACAATAACAAAAGTGACAGAGAAACAGTGAGTAACCTAACAAGCTTGTATAAACTGATGGCAGAACAGTGAGTAGGAGGGTTAATGAAATGCTAAACTTTACGAAAACCTACAAAGGAAAAGAAGTTGTGGAGATCCATGATTGCCCATGTTCAAAAGATATACATCACATAGAAGATAAAAAAAAAAAATGTTTTAATTGCTTTTTCATCATCTATCCTCTGGATTGAAGATCTAATTGACAAGGAATCCACCTGAAAGATACGAAAACTAAAGGAATTGGTATATATAGTATTATTAAAGATTCCTTTTATTATCTGTGAATTGCCATGCATTTTTTGCTAAGAAAGGGGAGTGGTATCCCTATTCCCTTCATGATTTTGAATACAGAGCTTTCCTTCCCCTAGACAAGTTGCTACCTAAAGCTAGAGAGTCTAGTTTACCCTACTATTTAACCCATAATTGGGAGCAAAAGGGGCAGACTCATGCCTTTCCCAAGAGTATCTGTGCTAAAGTGAATACAAAAAAAGTAACCTGGAATTTGAACCTGGCTTACAGGTTCCACTTTCTGGACTAATATCCATTATACTACCTGCATATCTTAAAAAATATCATTAATAAATCAATCACATCTAAAACAAAGTCATTTTTGTTATGTTATAATCTGTATTTTAATGGAGCATAATAGATTTGTTGAAGACATTGCAAGTTTTAGAAATATTGCATTTGTATATGAGAAAATTTTGTCTCTGGTTAAAACTACAAAGCTATGCAAGCAATATTAAAATCTTGTAACAGAATTTGCATCCAATCTAAAAATATTTTAGGTACTGTGAAGGTTTTCTTTGTTTTGCTTATATTTTTTTTTACACTTAGTAATCAAAATCTAAAATAACAACTTTTACTTTTAATATTCAAAAAGTAAAATTTTTTCCATTTAGTAAACAATAAAAAAGCAAGGATGATATACTGCAAGTATTAATTTCAATTTTGAAAATTATGATTTAATGGATGATCAAAATATCACTTCACTATTATAACAAAAGACTGTATATAAAATAGCAGAATCATTCTTTCTCTGGTTGAAGAGATTTCATTCTGGAACTAAGCCAGAGTTTAAGCCTTCAATCTAATGTTCTGATCACAAATTGATCAAAGTTCACTTTGTAAGCAAGAATGATTAAAATATTATTTTGTCAAATTATAACACCCTCTACATCAACTAAGCATTGTAAGATTGACTTGTAGGTTTTTTTTCTTGTCTATAATTTTATATTTATAGAACTTGTAGAACAGAGACAGAAGAAACAAAACATCTGTATTAGATTTGCTAATAGAGATCGTTTTTGCTGTGGTCAGTGAGATTTATCACACAAGTCAAATTTCTGAAAGAAAGGGACATTCCTTTTAGTGACTAGTACTTATAATTTGCAATATCTACATGTTAGGTCTAAGATTGATTGTGAATAACTTTAGAAAAGCAATGAACTTTTTCATTCAGACTTTAATTTGTTTATCAGACTTCACTTAACCATGAATTAAACTAATGTAATCTATAGGCGTTGTGGCTTAAAGTATAATAATCTATAGCAACAGAGTCATTGCTTTTCACTGTGGTATTGTTATTGCAAGTTCTCCATGAGATTAACCACTTCTTGTGGTCAGCCAAAATGAAATAATCTGACATAATATGAAGATGTGGTGATTAATTTGGCACAAGATGCTGGCAAGTGAATTACTAATGAGATATGTGCAAAGGAGATGGGGCTGGGCCAAGATTGGAGATGAGAAAATAAACAGAGGAGACATGAATATAATTTACCAGAATAACTGAAAAGATAGAATCATTGGGTTGTCTATTCTCACTACATGCTAGACTTATTTGTTGCAGAAATATTCATTGTATTATTTGGTATATGTTTGTATGAAATATGTGGGTTAGAAAATGAAAATTGAGAAAGATTAAATTTTAATGTGCATTGAGATTTTACAAATAGATGAATGTAACAGATAAGGTATGAAAATCTTGCCATAACCCATTAACTCTGGATGATAGGAAACTTTGTCAGTGCAGTTTCATGGCCCAAGTGAATGATTGAAATTTCTGCCAGATTTCTCAAAATAAGTCAAGAATATGTTTCAGGTATGAATTTAAGTTATTTCATAGAAATTTTATCAAATGACCTATGATATTTCATTCAACAAGCCATATATAGAAATATAAATCATTTTGATAAATTGTGAACAGTTCCTAAACACTGATTTTTGAATCTTTTAATATTAAAGTAAAAGCTAAAATAAAATAAAATTTCACAGAGTATCATTCATTTTTTTCTGCCTAAATAAATCATTGCAATGAACAAGACTGTTTTGTTCTCTAAAGTGTACAAAAGAAAAAAAAGTAAATTTTCAATGTACAAATAATTTGAGAGAATTTGGTGTAGTATAAAAAGGAATCCCACATAGTTCTTCATATGTGTAAAAAAAATATGAAAGACTTTTTTTTTTAATTTCTAACAATTTAATGGCAATGAATAAAATAAATTCTAAAAGACTCCTTAAATATAAATATTTAACAGTAAATTTAAAATATTAAATTTGTCCAATTCCTAGTATAGATGGAAAGCGCATCTACAGAAAATAGAGTCATGGAATACTGTAAGAACATGTGATGCACTCAAGAAATGAACATCACGTGCACTAGAGTAAGAATGCAGCATATTTTCCAAATTTCTAAAATTTATTCTAGAATGAAAACAAAAAATCCATTTCACTATTGAGCTAATTAGTACAGAAGTTTTGGAAATATTTATCCAGTATCTTTTTCTTAAAAAACCTATTTTTTTTTTAAGTAAACCTATATGTTTTAATAGAAATCAAGGCAGTAAGAAAATGTTAAACTGATTACAAATTCTATGATTTTTGGTTTAAAAAGAAGAATATAAAATTCAAGTAAGGTCAAAAAGTAGTCATTTCAAAATTAAAGTAAAAAGGTTTATTACCTTCACCAAGTGTTGATTAGTATTACACCATTACCTATAAAAACCTAGAATCTGATGGTACACATGCTTCATACAGGGCATGGAGGTGCAAAAAACTCCCGACCTAACCAAAACACCAAAATAAATGAAAAAAATTTGATCTTTGGAAGCAAGTCAGGCTGAAAACTTTTCACCACCTCCTTGTAATCATGTTTATTGATGATTGTGGTTCCGACAGCATCAAACACCAATCAAAATAAAATAGTTTCTCTAATCAAGCAACATAGTATAGGTGATTATCTTGTTTATATTTATATGCAACTAAACAACTCACAATGTAAATACATGAATGATTCTTTAAGCACAGTAACTTCTGTACACACTATGTGGCATGATCTATAATTTTCTTTAGTATTGACAAAGACAAGAGTTAAGCTACTATTTGCGATGAAAACAATTTATACCCCACCTCCATTTTCCTGTATATCCAAAATACAGTGTAAGGATGAATCTAAAGTTCTTTAACTAGTAATAGAGCACTTTCATTGACTAACATTGCATTATGTCTGTTCCTGGTATTTATGACAAGAATAATGTGCTAGGAATGTCATTCCCAGCCTAAGAATTTCACTTTATAGTTTGAATCATAACATTTTAATGATTTATATCAAAGACATTCTAGCAAAAGAAATATAAACAAGTAATCCAACAATGACATAAGTGTCAAAGAGGCAGAACAAGAAAGGGTTTAAAAAAAAAAAAAAAAAAAAAAAAAAAAAAAAAAGAGAAAAGGATTTAAGGTGTCTGACTGATGAGATTATCTCTGAAATCAAACCAAAAGCAAAAGTAAACTAAAACAAGGTAACTCATGTTCTAAGTGGTCAGTCTAGTGTAATATTCACATAAAACAGACAACATTGAACATTTAGCAGAAATTCTATCAAAAAAGTAAAAGGTGCGAAACAACAGTACTTAGCTGATAGAGTATTTGGTTAAATTTTGAATTATGTTAGAGCTGTTGTAATTTGTTTATACAATAACAAAAGTAAAATGCTAATCCCAAAAGTAATTACTAGCAAAAATAATTGATAAATCATGTTATAACTAGATCTTAGATAAATAGTGTAGTGACAATGTTATACGAGGTCAATGGAAAATTGTACTGTGTTAGAATATTGTTCA